AAGCGGGCACCCACTGATATGATTTTCAGTTCTTTGATGTCTGATAACTGATCCCTTCTACACCTCATGGTCAGACAGGTTGGTGTGCTTCTTCCATGTGGGCTTTGGTGCTTCTCAGGTAGATGGCTGCTTGTTTGCCTTTAATCCTTTAAGACCCCAGACGCTATATCTTTTGGTAGCCGGGCACCATCAGCTTTCTTCACCACTTTTGCTTATGTTCACATTTTTCTTCAGCAATCGTGTCGGGAAGGTGTGCAGCCTGGAATGCCAATTTAATAAAACAATGTGTTCTTGCAATGAGTAAGTGCTTGAGTGGAGGCCCGATGTCCATCTGTTGCCTTAATACTAAACCTGTAAATATGTGCACGTAGATCTGTTTCCCCACACTTATATAAATATATTTACATATGTACATTCCAGTCTTAATACCGCTATACAGACCCTTTGTCCCCTAGTTCTTTCCTCTATTTCCTTTTACTTTCCTCTTGTCCCACTATCATGCTCAGCCTTCATTTGGGTTTCAGTGAATTCTCTCAGTTGCACTGCCCTTGCTTAATCCCTACTAGGCCTCTCACACCCTCCTTGCCACAGTTTTTGGATCACTTGTTGCTCCCCTGTCTCTGGGTTGGTCAGCACCATCTCCTTACCCCTGCACCCCCTCTCCCGTGTCCCCCTGGAACCGTTGGTCCCATTGTTTTCTCCTCCAGACTATTCATCCAGTCTATCTAGATAGATCTGTAGAGATAATAATATGCATCAAAAACCAAGCCGTAACAAGATAGGCGATCAGTGAGAACACAGAGATGGCAACAAAAAAGGAAACCAATTACCCATAGAAGAATAAATTAATTAAAAGAAAAAAAATTTTAAGCAGAAAGAAAATCCCGTATATAGATCAAGGTCTGATTTTTGATCTCTAGGCGTGTCCTTCAGTCAGGTCCGATAGGGTACCATGCTCTGACCCCAGAGTCTGTCCTTTGTCCTCCCTTGGGGGCTCTCTGCTCTGCTCCCACGGTTGCGGTCGCACGCTTTTTGTGGTTTGCCTCGGTGTCTCAGAGTCAGTCTGGGCCAGTTCCGACATTGAGTCTCCAGTGTTGTCCCCCTTAGAGCCCGGGGCCATCAAGGGACGGCATGTCTCATGGTGGGATCCGCCATATTGTCCACTCTGTCCATTGGCTGTTCAGAGCGGGGATGTCGTCCTCCAGGGCTGGTGGGTCAGGATGTGCTCCACTCTCTCTTCCTCCGCCTAAGTGTTCCCATTTGCTCTGATCAGACATGCCCCTCTCCCCTAGCTGCAGCTTCAGTGCAGTCCTCTCAAGTCGATTCTTCTGAGGGGAGGGGGCCCGCCCACACACTGTCATCTAGTCAATTCTGACTCATAGAGACCCTATAGGACAGGATAGACTGCCCTTTATGTTTTTGGGGCTATGCAACCTTTACTAAAGCAGGCAGCCTCTTCTTTCTCTGCTGAGTGGCTGTTAGAGCAGGGCCATGTTTGTAGCGTCCTTTCAGGGATCTTAAAAATACATCCTTGCAAAAAACAAAAATAGATCCTTGCTGTGTATGTCATTCCAATACAAAGAAGGGGAAGGGAGGGGAGGAGGGAGAAAAAGGGCGGGAGAAGATAGCACTGGGGGAGCAGGGAACTAAGCCACCCAGGGGGAGGAATTGTTTATGTCTCCACAGAAATGGGAGTGTGCGTGCAGACCCCACCACGGCACACCAAACCTTGAGGGCCACATGACCACACGGAGCAACTCATGAACAGAGTGGGCTACAGGGCTGGCCCCAATCAGAGCCAAACTGACCCCCACCTAGAAGTATGTGCTACAGAGGACAACACTAAACCTACAGATTGGATAGAGGGGCCGGCATGCCACACCCACATGGAAGCAAATCAAAAAGAGAGAGCGAGGGACTAGACCCAATATTGGCAAATCAAGTCCTGAAGACAACATCCCTGCATGGAACTCCTAAGGCACAGAGAGGACTGCAGGCCCGACAACAGCTGGAGACAGGAATAGCTGGAGACAGGATGTCCCCTCACTGGAGTACACCACCACAGAGGACAATACTGGGGACACACGGTGGGGAGTGAGTCCAGTCTGACCCCTCCCACAGTGGGGCAAACCAAGAAGGGAATATAACAGATCATTAATGGTAGCAAAGCCAAGTCACAAAGCCCTTGAGGAGCCCCCAAAGTAGACTTCAGGCTAGGGGGGCAGTTCCTGGAACTCCCCCAGGACCAGTGGGGAGATAGTCATAAAGGTCAGCGGACACACCTGGAACTATGTATGCTTTTTCGGGGTGTTTTTCTGCTAGTTATTTATTTATTTTCCCTTTTTATTCAATGTTTTGGTTTCCTTTTGTTTTGTCTCTATTATTATTGGTTTGCCACCTATATAAGATAGGCATGGGAAGCAAGCCCGAGGAGAAAGCAAGTGGACTGAAACTTATGGAGCAGTGGTTCTCAACCTACCTAATGCTGCGACCCTTTCATACAGTTCCAATGTTGTGGTGATGCCCAACCATAAAATTATTTCATAACTGTCACTTTGCTACTGTTAAGAATCATACTGTAAATATATGATATGCAAGATGTAGTTTCATTGTTACAAATTGAACACATTTAAAGAACAGTGATTGATCACAAAAACAATATGTAATGATGTATTGTGAAATATTTCTAATGACAAATAAATGAAATTTTGGCTTGAAGCATGGTGTAGCACGGGTAACAGTCTTCACGCCGCGTACTCATATGTGGGTGTATCTGCTTGTGGGTGGACTCACCTGGATATGGATAGAGGAGTGGTGTCTTAATTCTTAACACCATCAGAAATATGTGTTTTCCGATGGTCTTAGGTGACCCCTATGATAGGGTCACCCAAAGGGGTCATGACCCAGAGGTTGAGAACTGCTATTTTGAAGGGACTTCGGGGGAAGAGGAAGCAGGGGAAGAGCGAGGTGAGCAAACAATGTGATAGACAAGGGTAGGGTGAAGAGGGGGAGAGGGGGGAAGGGGAAACCGATTACAATGATGGACACATAACCATACACCCCTCTCCAGGGTGAAGAACAACAAAAAATATGGGGGAAGGGAGACAATGGTTGGTGTAAGATATGAAAATAGGGGGTCACCATGGCAGAGCTGCAGCAGCTCCGCGTGCAGGAGGCAGGGGACTCCCTGGTGAAGAGCCTGGAGAGGGAGAACATCCGGAAGATGCAGGGTGCCATGTTCCGATGCAGCGCCAGCTGCTGTGAGGACAGCCTGGCCTCCGTGCAGCAAGTGCCCCAGTGCATTGAGCGCTGCCACACGCCGCTGGCGCAAGCCCAGGCCCCGGTGACCAGCAAACTGGAGAGGTTCCAGGACCGCCTGGCCCGGTGTGGCATGCACTGCAACGACAAAGCCCAAGACCCAGTGGCTGCCGGGAGTAAAGAGCTGCAGGTGAAGCAGCAGCCGGAGAGCTGTGTGACCAAATGTGTGGATGCCCACATGCACCTCATCCCGCCCGTGACCAAGAAGACGAAGGAGTCTCTCTCTTCCATCGCAAGATAAATGTCTGTGCCAGAGGCCATTGGGGATCAGGGCAAGAATCTATATAAAAAAGAAGCGGAATTTGGGTCTTTTAAGTGAATTTTATGAAAGAAAGAAAAAAAGGATAACAGTAAGTTTAAGGAATATCACCTGACTCTGGACACTGGCTCTTTTATCAATTCTAGCTCACAGGAAGGAAATTGGGCAAGCTGGTGCTGTCATTTGGGTTGGAGGTCGTACGAGTAAGTTATGTGGGGTCTCAGTTGTATGTGGCAGGTGCTTATCCTGGTCTTGGGTCTCTCCCTTGCTGTCCCAAGCCAGAGCCATCCCAGGGCACCCGAGCCTCCTGAGTTTACAGGTACCAACGTGCTGGCACGTTCCTCCAACCTGTCTGTGATGATCTGGTGGAGTTTTAGGAGAAGTATTTCTGTTTCTCGCCAACCTCCTGTTTACAAGATGTATTGTCACCCCATTTTCCATAAGCTGTAAGACAAAATGCGTGAGAACAATAATTCAGAAGAGGAAAATGGGGGGGGGGGGGGAAAGATATGAAAGTAATAATAATTTATAATCTACCAAGGAAGTATGAGGGTGGGGGAGGGGAGGGAAGGGGAAAAATGAGGAGCTGATACCAAGGGCTCGATAGAAAGTAAATGTCTAGAAATGAATGAAGGTAACATATGCACAAACATGCCTGATGCAATCAAGGTATGGATTGTAATGAGAGTTCTAAGCGTCCCCAATAAAATGATCTTCTAATTTTAAAAAAATACCAAAATTGATTAACAACCTGAAAATATTTAATGTAATCACAGAAATATATTTACATAGAAAGATGGGCGGGATAAATGCACAAGAATGTTTCAGAGGTGATAGTGAGTATCCAGCTACTTATCCACAGGTCTCAAAGTCCAAAAAATAAAATAAGATCTTTTTCTTCCACTCACATAGAACATTCTCTTCAGCATAGAAAGAGAATGCACTTCTTATATGAAAGCCAACCGTTTCCTTTTGCCCTGAGCAAGCGTCCTTTGCCACACAGTCTTCCAGAATATTCTCAGGTAGATTTGGATCACAGCCCCTCCCTCCCACCTTCCTAGGCTACCAAATTCAAGCTGCAGTTCAGATTTGTGACAGCAGGTGGCACCTAAGTACCTCCAAGAACAAACTACAGCCCCCAAACCAAATCCACTGTTTGGGAGAGGATTCTAACGCATCATTAAGTCTCTGCCAAGGAGTCGATTCCAATTCTTAGTGACTCATAGTGACCGCTAGAATAGCCTCATCTTTCTCCCATGGAGCGCCAGGTGGTTTCAAAGAGTTAACCTCGCAGTTAGCAGCCCCATCCCACCAGGGCCAGTCATAGCGAGCCTATTATAGTACAAAGTACTGCCTCTTCTTAGGGTTTCCGAGACTGTATATATTTGCGAAAGCAGACAGCCTCATCTGTCTCCTGCGGAGCAGCTGATGTGTTAAAACTACCAATCTAGCCGTTAGCAGCCCACCGTTTAACCAACCGCGCCACTGGAACTCAGAAAACAAACCACAGTACCCTCTATTAAGGCTCAGGTTACGAGTTTTGCCCATAGTGTCTCTGATTATGTCTGACAAAGGGGATGGGCATAAAATCAGACTATAGGAACGCAGACTAGCCACCCAGAAGCTGAAAAACCAGGTAGCTGCAGCGCGCCTGGGTGCCGCCAGAGGGCATCACAACGCAGAACAGAGCGGGCCGGAGGTGACTGGGAGAATGGCGGCACGAATGTGGGAACAGGGTTGGTTAGCTACGTCCAGAGAAAGGGTGAGGGAAAGAAAGGGTTTCTGGGAAGGCTATGCAGGGATGAGGTAATGCAGGGTGAACCCCTGTTCTCATGGTAGGCTCCTCTCTGCAGTGTGGACATATTAGCTGACACTCCTGAGGAAAGAGATAAAGCAATGAATGAGATGGAGATGTGGGAGCAACATAAAATGCTCTAATGTACACATGAGTCTGGCAAACAGAACGGAAGGCGTAAAGAAGCCATTTCGTGACGTGTTTCACTTTGTAAAATGTACATTTCATTTAAAAAGAAATGGGTGCCACCTGGTGGTCAGAGACAGGATTGCACCTCTGAGCCTCCCGGCACAGGGCACTCCGGTAAATGGATGGAAGTGGGCATCTCGGCCTGCTGGCAGCAGGCCGACTTTGCTGGGATTTTTCAACCACTGGCAGAAATCCTTTTGTATCCATCACTTTCCGGAATATTCACACCCGAGGCTGGAAGTGAAACTGTGTGAATTGAGTTGTACATGTGAGTGTGTACTTGAGGGAGACACTTAGAAACACACTATTAAAGCTATTACTTTCATCTACTTTTTTCCCTCAAAAAACTCAATAAAATGAACCTCCGTACACACTACTTTGTCAAGTATTTTCTATTTTCACATTACTCACAGGATTTTGCAGATTATTTTTCCATTTAATTCTCATGATTTCTATTGACCTCTTAATAGTTCTTGTGGTCTTGGCATATTTTAACATAGTCATTGCTTGTGTGTATTTTATTCGCTGTTGAAATTGTCTGCCAATCTCTGTTTACTAAATTTGCTTCATAAGCCAGGGACACTAACCCAATAACTGGGATGTAGATTGTTTTTAAGAGTTCTTTAATATTATTACTTGAAACTCTACAGATCATTATTTTTAAAATAAAAGGTTGAACAATGCCCCAGAAGCCCTGTAAAAATTCAAAACCAAAAGTAAACCCTTGAGAATCACTCGGTTACCTCCTGAGGAGGAAATGACACAGGTGGTTCCTGATGTACTCACAACCCCATGGGGTCCTATTCAGAGAACTCCAGGGACCCATTACAGGGTCATCAGGTAATTGTCATGCGTGATATGGGCACATTACAGCCTGCAGTCAGCTATTCACTGCTTCAGAGATCAAAAGTCACTAGCATTTCTTTGCCATAAGACTAGCCATCCTTCCCCTCATTAATAACTAACTATATACGGAGCTTCAAAGGGCTACAAGTGTGCCTTTGGAGATGTCTCTTTAACATTAAGGTGGACATGCAAGCATCTGAAAGGAAGCGAGCAGATTGGCAAGTTCATGGGTTGAATCTGAAGTGAGATGACTCCTCATAAACTTTGCAATTCTCTCCGGTTTCAAGAAATGGAAGATTAAAAATAAAAAATCGTTTCTTGCACCCCCAATTTCCAGTCAGCCACATTGACCCCCTTTGAAGTCAAGGTGCCAGAAAGAGCTTATTTCATTACCCACCACTGTCTTCCTTCCCTGCTCACTTCTTACCCCACAGCTGTAGGACTTCTGCCTCCACAACTGCGATGGAAGTGCGTGCATCCAGGTCACAAGCCAGATTTTCCAGCACTCGGACTTGAAACTAACTGCCTTCCAGCCAATGTCCACTCACAGCCACCCTCTAGGACAGGGCATACCTGTTCCCTGTGAGTTTCCGCGACTGTAATTCTTTATGGGAGTAGACAACCCCATCTTTCTCCCAAGGAGAGGCTGATGGTTTTGAACTGCTGACCTTTTGGAGCTCAGCCCAACATCTGACCACCATGCTACCAGGACTCCTTTTCTGTCATGAGGTCCAGTTTTTTTTAACAGTTTTATTGACACTTCATTCACATATCACATACTTCAATAGTTCGATCACATCAAGAAAAGTTGTACAATCATTACCGCTATCAATTTTAGAACATTTTTCTCTCCCTTGTGCACATTGTTATTCGTGTATTTTTTTTCAATTTCTTTTAAAAAAATCATTTTAGGGGCTCATACAACTCTTATCTCAATCCATACACACATCAATTGTGGAAAGCATATTTGTGCATTCACTGCCCTCATCATTCTCAAAACATTTGCTCTCCACTGAAAACCCTGGCATTAGGTCATT